ACTGAATGCATTCTCTCCCTAAAACATAAAATATTTAGACATGCATTCGTAGAATTACTGAAGATAAAGAAAAAAGGACAAGAGCTGATTATAAGAGCACTGTTTTCTTAAATTTATTTTTATGTGATTGAAACAGCTTAACAGTTAATTTTATATAATTTAACAACAATAACAATAGTTACATTTTTGATGTTATGTTTGCAGACACTACAAAAATAAATAGAATTCTTATGTCCAGTGACATGTTTCAATTCCACAAATAAATATCCACTATGAAAAATCTAGCATGACTCAAGTTAAAGTAATTCTACAAATCCCTGTCCGATAATCCCATGTCCATCTTAACCTGTCACCACAATTCTTTCTGCCTTAACGGTACCGCCTACGACATTTCTTCTTAGTTACACCACAACAGGATTAAGCCTTTCATCCAGTATAGGTTTTACTGTTAGATTTTTTAACAGTAATTATATTTTTCTCTATCAAGGTTAAAAGATAAAAATGAGCGAAAATGGTTTATTCTCTTGTGTAGTGAGCTTTTGTTAGTCCACTACCTACCTAAGGAACGAGATCGTTTAATTGTTGTTACAAATGATGCTTACAATATATTACGGTATTTCTTTTCAGTTCAATCTTATTTATAAAGTGTAAGAAATCAACCAATTTGAATAGCCTAGAAACTCTCTGGCATTGGCTGTGTATATTACTGTAGATGGCCTATGATGATCCAATTAATTACACGAATCGTATACCAGATAATTTATATACAGTTGTGTACAACTTTATTTATGTGAAATACTCCATATAAGGTATATCTTGTTCTAGTACAAATTTTGTCAAAATTTCAATGTTTAAATGCTTTTTTTGACGAATGTGTATGAAAAAAGAGTTAAGTATTTCGGAATTAAATTCTTACAAATTAAATCAGTTTTGTTCGAGACGATCATTTCTTAACATAAACATCATATTAGTTATTATTATTCAACATTTGTAAGATCATTCATCCCAAAATTGTCCTTAAAAGATCATTAAAATTTCCGTTAGCCAGTTGATAATCTTTTATCAGGCATTTTTTCGCTTAGTTAAATTTTTTTGAAATACGGTTCACATGTCCGAGTTCAGTTATCTTTGTCGATAATGAGAGGGGTCATATTACAAAACGCCGTGAACTTCGACCTCTTGGAAGAACAAAGAAAATCGGGCTTTATTAATAGCAGGTTTTTATTTTATTTTTACATCCTCGAAATTTAGAAAGTAAACATTAAATAGCAACGATATTTTCGAAGGTTAAAGAAGATAAACTATTATTTATATAATGCGATTTTATAGAAAGAGCTATCGGTAATTTGTTTTTCAGACAAACGAGCACATGACCTTTTTATGCAGTTATGTCTTTGAAATGTAATTGTTTTTCATACAACTTAAATCAAACTGAAAGGTTATAATTAAAACTCGGATAAGATAAACGGAATCATCATGTGAAGTGTTTATCAAATCCACTCCAGATAAAATTTAAAAATGTATAGAAACATATGAAAAGTTATTTTTTGTTATTCCACTTTTAAACCAATTGAACGTTGGTCAGAATACTTGACTGAAGTTTCAGCATAAGAAAAAGGAATTTCATCTGAATTTAACGTTACTAAATTTTATTGCAACGCAAATGAAACGAATCTAATAAAGATAATATTGACTAATAAAAACACAATACCGCAATAATAATTATATAAATATTGGCGAAAGTTATAGTCACTTGAAATTATCTATTAGTTATTGGGTTGTCCGGAAAATAATGCAGGATTTTAAGTTTTCATTAAAAAAAATCTATATAAAATATTCTGTTTACGTTTACAGGATTACTCATTTGTANTTTGATTAAAGAACATTGCTTTAAAGTAACTAGTTTCTTTTTTTTTGTTTAATACCAAAATCCTGCATTATTTTCCGGACAACCCAATAAATTTGCTGAGTGTAAAACGTGACTAACATAACATAATTAATATTTAAAAAATCAATTCCAATCATTTCAGAACTCTAGAATAAATGAGACCTATTTTAATACCTAATTTAATAGGAAAATATTTCAATTTGAGATTAAAAAGGATCGTTTAATATACAATTATATTAATTTCAGCAAATTATAAAATGCTATTGTTGGCCTGGGATTTATCGTTGGGTAATTTTTGTAATATTATATCCGTGAGAATCTTTAGCACTATAATCTCATTTTATATATAATAATTAAAAAAAGGTTTGTATATTTCAAAATGACTTAAACCTTTATAAAACATACTCATTTTGCAACGCACACAATCAAATAATTACCATATATCAGTCAATTGTCAAAAGCATCTAGGGTCTGACGGTTGAAAATTATTTAATAATTTGAATTAATTATTGGTGATATAATATATTGAAATAGTAAATTTTACGTTCCAAAAAGCTACTTATCAGCGTCAAACTCAACATTTCGTTAGTTGACATTAAATTTTGGACTTTGCATTGAAGATGGTAGGCACACTGAACTGCCTAATAAATTGTACATTTAAAAACAAGAATAAAGAAACTACACATGATCAGTACTTCAAAATACAACAGTATCGTATGTTTAATTAATACTAGTGTCACTATAACTGTCACTGGCTAGAAGGTTTTGTGCCCATCGTCTTTTCAGTTTGTGAGGTGGGTATTTGCGAATTCGTCGGTATATGACGTTTTGGAGTTGAGGATTTATGATGAATGTAAGAGTTTTATAAATATTGCGATGGGGTTTACATCTTGGACAGAAGGAATATTTTTGTCTGTATGGAAATTTTGTCGGAAACATAAAATGGAGCATCAAACATTTCTGAGGGTTATACATTGGACAATTTGGATGCGATGTTCGAATGTTAACTAAGGTGTCATAAAGATGCGTTTTATTTGTCAGAGGTAAGTCATAACGTTTTTCAAGAAGTCATGAAAGATCTCTGTATAGTATTACATCTTGATGTCTTAGTCGTGTGTGGGATTCCACGTCAAACCTTTGTCGATGACAGTCCTATGTACGATACCTTGTAAGATGTTATCCGAGGAGGAGGCATCTTTTTGTGTGAGTTAAGGTGCGTGGATCTTTATGTGCTAAATTTTATTATTTTATTTTTACTCCAAGGCTCCAGTAGAATGATGTGTTGATGGTTGCTAGTGAAAACGACATGGTCAGAAGAACCTCTGTATCGTTTGCAAAGGCTGAGGAAGGTTTAAGGAAGGGATTATTTGTCAACTGTGTACACCTGGCAAAGTTTGGGGCCAAACGTGTCCCTGAGAAACATTATCATGGATAGGAAAATATGCGGAGTTAGCTTGCAAACAAGAGGTTCTCAAAAAATAAAATTAACTATTGAATTTTTTTGAAAAATCTGGAACTTGTATAGCCCAAAAATATGGGTAACACTAATCAGGTAATAGTGAACATGGTGGTCGCCGGCAATTTAAAAAGGTTTTTTATAACTGCTTAAAAAAGTTACTTAGGAAAATCAGCTGGCATTAGTGATAAAAAAGGCGTGGTTTTCTTCCTGGTGAATACAAGATCTTACATCTATTTCCTGACGGGGAAGAAATCGCTGGAAATGCAGACTCATCTATCACGATATAATCATGTGTCTGGTAACCTCATTCTAGTTATATTTTTCACTAAATGCAACCTAAGTTGAATTATACATTCTTTCTCTAGACGGAACGAATAATGTCCACGTCTTTTTAAAAATTAAAAAAGTGTTTGGACAGATTGCATAGGTAAATTGGATGAATGAAGGCAGAATTAAACTTAGGAAACTAAATAAGAAATAAATTAAACATTGACCTTGTTATAAAAATATCTCAATAAAGATTAAGCAAATACTGTTCTAAGAATGGCAAGCCATTAGGGTAAAATGGTATGCATTAATTATTGGAAATAAAAGCGGTTTCCTCCATGACAACGCATATTTTATCGGTGAGATGGCAAAAATATGTTGCACCTGATCTGGGACGTCAATTCCGCCCACGATATCCTTTAAACTTGATGTAAACGTTAATATTTCAATGCAACATGATTTAGGAAATTACGAAAACAATTTGGATCAATCGTAAAAATTTCTCGATTGAAAATATTGCATAATATAAAAACGTACAGAATGTAATATATTAGTTACAATAACTAAAAAAATACGGACACAAAATTAAGCTGTTTAAAGTCTAAAGTAACTTTTTTATGAGGGTATTCCAACTACGAGGTTATTTGAACCCTCAGAGTGTCGGTGTTTTGGAACAAAACCCCTTTTGCAAGTATGTCGGGTTCGAACCCGGGTCCTTTACCTTACAGTGATGAACGCCACCGGCGCCAAAAGTAACATTTTTATATCAAATCAAAATATTTCCTTGTTAAATTAAATTGTTCACAAATCTAATTTTACTTTTTCCAAATGAAATTATTATTTTTTCTAATTTAAATTCTATAATCTAAAAAACGAATTTCAAACATTTCCCAATGAATTTGAGATATTTATTTTTCAAGTTGAACGTTTTCAGTTAAAATAAATAATATATAACTACTTAATTACTTTTTCATATTAAGGAACTTAGTTAACAAATTTAATTTGTTAAAAGAAGTAATGATTATTTTATTTTCCTGTTTTGTATTCAAGTTGAAAATGGAATATCAACGGAAAGCTCAAATGAAAAAAGGATAAACTTAAATTGATTACGAAAATAATTTAATTCTGTTTCGAACAATTATAAGTTGATTTTCGGACAAGTTCAATTTTATTTGGCAAATATCAAAACAAAAAATGTGGTTGAATTACGCTAATAAAAAAAATAATCAAGCTCAGCGTTAGTAAGTGTATGAGTTGGACACAATGGATGAAAGTTAATGTGCAAAAGGGAATATTCTGTACGAACTCATCCAAAAAAGGTGTATACGTTATGATTGAGAACAATAACACCGTTTATCCCGAAGATTCATGCAAAAACATAGTTACTTGTGTTGTATAATTTATTTTCTCGTCAATTCTCTTTGTGCGAGTGATAAGGTGATCCGTGGAAATTTCCACAACGGCCTGAAATCTCTCTTCGAGGCGTTATTCAGTCAGAAGGAGAAAGATATATGTATAACAGAGAAAAGGAGAGGGGAGGAAAGATAAGAAAGTTCAAACAGCCACTGCACCAAAGCCCAAATAAACGTGTGGCTATCGCTAGAAGAGATAAGGGCAAATACCTATTTACAGACATTAAAAATAATGTACTGATAAAACGAGTGAGAGGGCATACAGATAGGGTGAGGAAGAGAGCAAAAATGTGATAAATTCTAAATGAATAAACAATGATTTTTTGTTGTTACAGTTACGCTAAATATTTAATAAAAGGAGAGCAAAATAATCACAACAACATCGTATGATTATGTACATCTCACAAGGTTTATCAGCCAATTGACGGAAATAAACGTTATCAACTTCTCTGCTTTCAAATTTTTTTATTGTCTTATTTTAAAACTAATCGACTATATTTCAACATTTCAGTCATTTATCATACGTTTATAAATGTAGTAAACAATTTAATTTTGAGCAGCGTGCAGATAAGATGAGTAACAAAACTGTTTTTTTCCCCAGTATAATTGTGAATAGTGGGCCAAATGAAAAACAGGGTTAAAAACGCTTAATAATTTAAATAAAACATAATTTACAACAAATAAATTGTTGAAGTAGTGAGGAGCGGTCAGGTTAAGTGTATAACAGAAAAACACTTTTTCCAATTTATTGATCAATAAAATGAAAAAAGGTGTTTTTCTGAAATACCTCTAACCTGACTGCTTTACATTACTTCAACCATTTATTGAACGACGGGTCGCTAAATAGCATACATTTTTGTTTACAGCGTTTGCTTTTAACTCAATAGTTTTAATTTATTTAGTACCTCAATCTACGAATGTACAATGTACGAAATGAATAGTAACATTATCTAGATCCAGATGATCGAGTTTACACACCGTCGCTGTACACTGTTTTCAGTCACATAAATTATTATTAGTACTGTTGATCGGAATATGTGTCTTTATATATATATAGTNGTATAAAGATAAAATTAAACTTTATTCTCTGTTGTATCTTCAAGTCACTGCATTTCCGTAAAATACTACAATATGTTACGTTTACTACCATTAAAATATACAAGGACTATGGTATTTTTTTGTCAGAATCTTATTTTTTGTTATTATTACCAAGTTTTACCAAGAAAAAATTTGATTCAGATTTATTTATTTATTTATAGGCAATAGCCCATTTTATTACAATAATTACTAGAAAGATAAAGAACAGTTAGACTTATAAACATAAAGTTAAAATTAAAAAAAAGTTTAGTACATTTTTTCTGTATATTTAGTACACCGAACTTAGCAGTTGTGACCGTTAAACTTTCAGAGACTTTTTAAGACTTTCTTGGCTGAGTCTTTTGCCATCCTCTCTCCTAGATTGTTCCTACAGCAAGTATGAGTTTTTAACATGAAACATTCGACAAATTCTTCTTTTATTGTGACAATTAGTGTTGCTTATTTGTACAGTTTGTTTTCGCGTGCTTGCTATAAAATCGTTGATTGAATAGCAGCGCATACATTGTATATGATGTGTCATTAACGTAGGCTTTCTCAGTTCAAATTTTTGTGCGATACCCTCTATAATTAGAAAATGAAATAAAATTTGTAAAGGGGAGTTACAATTTGAACCTTTATTCAATCACGGGCAAATAAGAGAAAACCGGCTGTATCACGTAGCCCGAACCCCTGTGTACAAATTTTGGAATCGTTTCCTTTTCGAATATTCTCTTGTAATCTCTTTATTATAACTTTCCCAATTTAATATCATGAAAAATTAGCATTTATAGACCATAAGCTTTCAACATTAACAATGTATAAATAAATTTTAAATTGTATTTTGATGTTTTAAAAAACATACCAAACTTATTATCAGTTATAATGATTTCGTAGATTATGTATAATATACCCCATATTTTCAAGGAGGATGAATGAATAGTTAATTCTTCAAGAAAAATGTTTTATTGCTTTTGGAAGGCAAATCTTATTAGTAATAGACAAAAAAACTGATTACAATTTTAAAAAATTTCATTTAATTTATTAAAATTATAAATTAGTTTATGGAATATAAAAACGATTAATGTCAGTTGTTACATATAGACAAAATTAAGTTAAGTCGCCCGAAAGGAAGCGGCCGTTTAGGCCTGCATGTGACTTCAATAAAAATGATGGATAACGGCCTCACTAATAAGCAATTAAAACCCGTTGAGGGCCATATTGGGTTATCAGGAGACAGTAAAACAGTTTATTTCGGTCACAAACCTATCTAGACCTTTTTTAAGAAAATAATATTATCGCACAAGTTATCACACTTTTTTCATTATGCAATTGCGGACGATATGGTTGATTTAATTTTTTTAAATCTGATTTTTTTGTATCGATCAAAATATATTTAGAGATGATCAATTTAATTTTACTAACTGCGCACATCGTTTTTTCAACCATCTATCAATGTAAATTGAATATATTTCTTTTTTTAATTTAGATGCCTTCTATTTATTAGTAGTTATTTACATACTAATCTAACTGGATTTGGAATTTGATATTCTTTTATTAACACTTTTTACTTAAAGATGATCCTTTATTCAGACCCAAAAACTTTCAGCTCAACAAAATTTAGTCTTTTCAAAATGAAATATTTTGCATTCTAGCTTTTGAAATTTAGTACTTGAGTAAGGGTGTAAATCGGAACCGTGGGCCAGATAAGGAGACGTGGTCGGATCGTCTTATCTTCCCACCACCCATGTTGGTTGAAATACACCAAGATGCTCAGACAAAATAAAGCATCTGTTTTTAAGTCTGGTTAAAAAGACCATATATATTTTTTTGTAAAAAGGTTGATGCTACAACTTTACAGCAACATAAATTACATTGACGTTTTATGTTAATACATAATAATTTTGCCAATACTCGTTAAGGACGTACAAGATCAAGATCTTAACGAATCGAAATTTCTATTTGATGAGTCAACCCGGTTCGTTTTCCGGATTCCCGGTGTCCTGGTGTACTTTTTTTATGGTGTTCGGCGTATAATGTAAAAGTTGTTTTCCTGACCTTTTGATCAAAAGACCAGGAAATTAGTGAAAACAATCTAGAAAAGAGATTACCCGAGATGATTACGGACCCTCAGTGTGTCATTTGCACCTATTAAAAGACCATTATCTGCGGAAGATCATGATTAAAGGAATTTGTACTCAAACTATTTCAGGGATGTCTGAAATTTTTGGTTGTCTGAACGTCTTTAGAAGTATATAAAAAATAATCATTTCAAAATACATTACTCTTTGTTGTAGTTGTAGCCGAGTGTGCGGCGGTTCTAAAAAGATACATTAAACTGCTAGAAGCCTATTTTGACCTGTGGAACCTGTCAGTTAATCTACAGAAATCTAAAGACGTTGTGTTCAGGAAAGGTGGTAGAGTAAGTTCTTCGGATAGTTTCTTCTACAAAGATGAGGCAATGCATGTGGAGAACGAATAGAAATACTTAGGCATTTTAATTACTCCCAAGCTTTCATGGTGAGACATGGCTCCTCAATTAGCATTGAATCAAAGCTGGTCGTCTATTATATATTATGACCCATAACACGACCCCGATCAATGTAAAATTTAATATATTTAACTCTGTGTCTCTGGCAATTCTTTGCTATGGGGCTTTCAGAGATTCAAAGCTGTGGAAAAGGTCCAGTGATATTTCAAAAGAAAACTTTTTTTCTTTACCAGTGGCACACCAAATTGCCTCATCTATTTAAAAACTACCACCAATCTACTGTTTTTGTTCACTCTCAAGCTGCACCTTTCCTTTATCTTGAAGACGCTAGGTTCTCCAGACTCGTGACTCTCAAAATTTACCTCACTTGAAATAGTTCAATCAGTGATTTTTAGATTCTCTGTCTGGAAATCACTATTCGCGAAATATGATATTGGCTTCTTCCTGTCATTGGAAAATATCACTAACTGGAGAACTCAATTTTCGGCTTTCTTGACTCAGATTAATTCCTAACACCGCAGTGAATGTGTTGATCGTGCCATGAGCTATAAGAAGCCCAATTTTGAACGTTATTCTTAGGTTGAGCTGCGTTTGCTTTTTAAAATGCGCTGCGAGGTTTTTTACTTGAACTCGGCCGTGTGGAATAGTGGTGAGCAGGGCATCTGTTCGCTTTGCAATTCGCATGCCCTCGAATCTGTTATAATTTCTTGGCAGAGTATTCAATTCTGGGTGAGATTTGCTTGCTTTCCTAGGTTGCTAGGTCACTCTGTCAAGGGGTGAACTTCTGGGTTTTTTGGAGGTTCAAGATATAGGCCTTTGATTGGGTTTATGAGGCAGGCTAGGAAATACAGATTCTAGCTAACAGAAGATTTTAATTTTTAATTTTATTATTGAAATAATATATATATTTTCTAATTTTTTCTCTTTTTTTTAATGCATACAGAATTTTCATTGTTCTAACACGGCGATTCACAGCAGGCGGATTTTTCGATTCATTGTCTGTCTGCTGTTATGTTATTCTTCCCTCTATTGTATTTTGGTTTATATTGTAAATATAACAATTTTTCATTCATTCATTTATTTATTTGTTGGATTTTATGAACAATTTTTTTTTCTAGCCTTTGCAAAACAAAATGATATGATAACATATATTTCATTGGATTTTTTAACATAATTTTATTAAACACTTGAAATATTAAAGAAATTACAATTAGCAACATTTTAAATATAGTTTTAAGCCTGGTATAAACTTCTTAATACTTTCTAAGCAAACTCTTAGTGTCTGAATACTTCGGAAAATACAGATCCATCGATCTATTTTTATACATGTTTTATTAAAAAATACTATCTAACAATGAACGTTACTGTTATATCACACTAAGCATTTGTATCTATTCTATCTTTAGGTCTTTAGGTGTTATTGTATAGTTTTAAATCTGATGGGATTTATTACTGTGATTATATTTGTTTAAAATAATTATACAGTTCGGATGGCAGAAATCAACAATGAGCGTTCCTAATTGCAGGCCTAATGCATATCCTGAGGAGGAAACATTGGATGGAAGTGAGTTTAAAAAACTAGTAATTGGCATGTTAACCTGCAATATTTAATTTTCTTGAAAAGTTGAAGAACCGTCCACTTCTATGAAAAATTTGTAAAATGTCAGAATGAACCAGATTAAGTAAACAACCAAATTATTATTTTCTCAACAACAAAAACACACGGCCGCTGTAAAACACTGAGGTTATGTTATTGTTTCATTGTGTTTCACGACTAATTATGATTAATTTTACTTTGTGAATTTTTATAAATCAACGTAGTAGATAGATGACACCTTTTTAATGTCATTCAAATTACAAAGCCATTGGGACAGATTTGTATCCAAAATTGACCGTCAGCAAATCTGAAATAATGATGGTTTTCAAGATTTTAAAATAAACTTCTCAGACGTTCTTTTACGAGAGTCTTAATTTCTTTTAAAGAGACGTTTATTATCTTACATAATTACTCATTCGACGTAAAATTTTAGCAGCTCGTTTGGATTTTTACGGTTCAGCTTGTTTATTTAAAAAAAGGTAACATGAATACGACTGGAATGACAACTTAAAACATATTATTATCTATTTTTGTCAAAAAGCTATAAAATTTTATAGCGGACGCGTTTCCAAATTCAATTAAATTCCAAATTAGAAGGTAGATGTTTGCACATGGCCAACAACGATCTTGTGCATTGTTTAAATTCTCAGACGTTTATTATGTTGAATTTAATTAAATGTAAACCAGCTATTGATTTTAATTTTTGACTTGCCATCTAGCGTTTCTGTATTGTGTTTGTCTTTATTTTTATGTTATGAACATTTCATAAATTTTAATTTACGTCAAGCAACAAAGCTTAATGATTAGGACAATTTTAGAAAACCTTTTTAAAATTATACTAAAAATAACTTGTCAGTCCAGTCACATCACCTATAAATATATACATTTATAATTAGATTCTTTATTGTTTTGGCTAGTTCGTTATCCAATGTAATCTGACTGTGTCACGGCAAAGATTACCAGGCTATCTCATGATGAATTAGATATCTCTCTGTGGATTTAAAATATTGGTAATAAGTTCTATGTTATGGTTAAAATTAATTAGATATATATTTACACAATACGTAGAAAAAATGGCAAATCTTCAAAAGGACAGAGTTTGAAAATAAACCGTTGAAACAGAAATCGTAGAAAAAAAAATTATATAAGCTTTAAACTGGACGCGTAGGTCGGACGATAGCTAGCAGGGAGAATGTTCTAGTAGGCGATGGAGCAAGACCATTGTTATCACCGAGATAAGGTAATGTTTACTTTAGATACCTATGTTTGCTCAGGCTCTACCATTAGACCCCTTAACCGTTCTCTGCTTGTCTCTGTGTACTGCTTACCTCCTCAAAACTCTCTTGTGTACATCTAAGCAACTTTCTATTTAAATCCAAGAAACTATTGGCCCAGGGAAGATAAAGCAGGGCTCGGGCAGGTTTGTTTTCGAAACCGCCCGGATCCCTAATAGGACCTCGCCGAGGGGTGCGAGCCGGTTACGAATTTTTCCTTCGTAAAAAAAGGGAATGCGCGTCGACACATGTGGTATTCAGAATAAGCAAATAAGCTAGGGCGAACCTCTTGAAGCAGCATGTGTTCGAACAACTCAGTTACTACGTGTTGTGAACAACTGTTTAATAGGGCGGCTTAAATCTACTTTGACTAAACTAAATTACGCCTATACAAAAACTCCAAAGTGAAGTTAAAGAAATCCATCCGTGAAGTATAAAGAAAATCGTAATTAACATGAAATGTCGTAACAAATAAATGAACTCGAATAATTGACGGTAGTTTATGTTGAACGTACTAATGATTGAAACTAAAGACTGACTCATCTAATTTACACACTGACAAAGCAGTAGTTTGTTTAGTATTGGATTTTTGGCTAAAATATATCAATATATTGATCCCTTGAAATCAGTTTTATTTTCCTCTTCCTTCTTCTCGACCTATAACATTCAGTATTGGGTCCGTCCCATCAACAAGATTGAAAGGCAAGGTAGCATATCCAAATTGAGTATTTACCTTACTATTACCATCGTACATTAGAAATTTATGAAAAATTAACTTCTACGCCGAGAACTGAAACTGCAATTCTATCGAAACGGGGGAGCTAACCAATTCGTCAATGTCAACCTGTAATAGTACAGTCTCACAATTATAATCATTTTCTTGGTTTGGCGATGGACGAGAATCATTTTTACAACAATAATTTTGAAAATTACGTTTTCATTTGCGAATTAAAATAATATAGATAATTAGCCTGAATGATAGTAATACTAATAATATACACATGTCAAGGGTTTTGGAATTCTTCTAACAAAAGTATCAGTATGTTATATTCACTTGCAATGGTATGGTCAAGAAAATGAGGAAAAGTCAGCTTTAGATGTTGGGAAAATGGACAGAGTGCTGCCTATAGTAGCACGGTTCTTCTTCTTGACCTATGCCACCGAGCTTGTGACTATCCCGCCAGCAAGAGTAAACGTCAAGATACCATATCCGAATTAATTATTTAAAAAAAAATCAATCGACCATCCTATGTTAGAAAGTTATGGAAAATTCACTAATTTCGTGGTCCGCTTGAAGCTATCAATTCATTACAATTAATTAAGGTTTTTAGTTGAAATGAAAAAAGTTAATGGCACGCCGTTGCTTACTGAAGGTGGGGTTGAGATAGGACGTTGATGTCCGAGTGGATCGAGGTCACGATAGCTCAAGTGGTAGAGCAGCGGCGTATGTAGCCGAAGATCGTGGGTTCGAATCCCGCTCGTGCCATTAAATTATTTTCATCTCAAATAAAAACCTTAATTAATTGTTATGGAAAATTTACTTCTACAACAAGAACTGAAACTGCAATTCTGTCAAAACTGCAAAGCTTTTCAATAACCAAATGTCAATCTGTAATACAGTATTAACAATAGTAATTATTATCTTAAATTCACTAATTTCGTGGTCCGCTTGACCAATTAATATATTACAATTAATTAAGGTTTTTAGTTGAGATAAAAAAGTCAATGGCACGAACGGGATTCGAACNGCAGCGGCGTATCAAGCCGAAGATCGTGGGTTCGAATCCCGCTCGTGCCATTGACTTTTTTATCTCAACTAAAAACCTTAATTAATTGTAATTATTATCTTAGTTGGAAGATGGACTTATCACAATAATATTGAAAATTGCAGTTTTCATTTGAGAATTGCAGTAATATTGACACGGATGTTTATTAAGCAATAATCATACATAAATATGTGAATTATTAAAGTACTAGATGATGCTGGTCGTTGTGGTGGTTAGTATGGTATTTTTGTAATGATTTTGTGATCGCCTTGTAATTTAAATAAAAAAAAAAAAGTTTACGTAATGCAGTATATTTTTCTATTTTCTGAGTAATATTTGCAAAATTTAATTATAATTTACTAATGTTTTGTTGACCTCAAACAATATGGTCAGTATTTCAAAGGATATGTAGTTTGGATATATCAATAACAAAACAAAAAATTATTCGAGTGTGATTGACCCTTACAGCCTTTTTGGGAAAAATAACACTAATATTTGTATCTAACAGCATTTTTTCGTTAATTATCGACCACATTAAATGTAGTTGGACTAAGGGTATTAACAATTAAAAAAGTTTACTTGAACATTTAGAGTAAATCGAATACTTTATTTGTATTTTCAAATTGGAATAATCAAAGGTCGACATGTTGGGGGTAAAACCCTCGAAATTACTACCGCGATATTGAAATCCGCAAGGGCCCTTGACAACATTTATGTGCGATATGGGTATCAAAATCGCCTTGCCCATTTACTTATCGAATTGCAAATATTTGATAAAAACAGACGGCGATAATGAACGAAAAACTATTTACCTTTATGCCGATATTTTTTTTAGGAGTCGAAGCCGAAAAGTATAACGATGTAGTTCGTTATACTTATCGCGTCGGCTCGTTCCTACCACGATTTATAGTCTTTGCCTGTGAGTTGAATGTTACTCATAAAACCGGCTTATCATCATGATTTAGTAGTAGTTTATAATTTTTATTTTTCTGGCATGCACTAATTGCAATAATGTATAATCACATTAAAACAATGGTTTATTCTGTACATTAGTAGAACTTAGTTGAAAACATACACTGGGACCTTTAAAGTAAAACCATATAATTACCAGATACTACCAAACTATAATAATAACTAATGAAATAGGAAAAAGCCTAAAAAAAATTACATTTAAAAGGGCTTTTAGCGACCATTTCACGCCAACATAGATCTAAGTTAGGTACATATCTATCTACCTGAGCTCTATGAATTTCTGACTCTGAATTCTTTCAAACCTTATCACACACTTCAAACGATTTCTGTTGCTGCATTTAGTAACTAATGTAAGTTTGAAATTTGTAAGATTCGAAACTTATAATTAGTAGTAAAATATAAACCTTAATAAATACATAACATAACATATATAAACGTTAAAAAAACATAATGTAGGTAAGTTGAATAACAGGTAGCCCTTATTGGATACCAGCATATAAAGGACACCATGGCAATGAAAAGGCGGATGGCCTGGCCAAAGAAGGTTCTAATACTGCGTTTGTCGGATCACAACCGGTATTACCTCACTCTATGAGCACAGCGAAAGAGACTATTACTGGGGCATGAAACAATTCCTTAGGGAGTAGAATTTATCCCCGAGACACAGGCAATCGAAAGAGTTAAAGTGATCAAACCAGCAGAATCGAAATAGCTATTCTCTTTCACAAGGAAGGGAATTAGGAGGCTGATGATTCTGACGGGCCACTGCCCACTGAGAAGACACCTCTCCGTAATGGGTATTCTACCAGATCCCTTTTGCCGTTTTTGCAAAATAAAAGAAGAAACGGCAAGGCACTACCTCACAGAGTGTGATAGGTATGCTAGGTCCAGATTTGAAATATTTGAAGGGGCGGACATCACCAAATCACTCCCTGAGATAAAATGGTCCAAAATCTTGGTGATTGTGAACAAGACCAAGAGATTTATGCAGTACACGTGGCGGATCTTGGTGGCCCACCTTGCATTATATATATATATATAAGTTGAATACCAACAACAATCAACGAAATATATTTCTGTATATAATAAATATTTCAGGTTATTCCCTTTTCCGTGTTGCTAACGAATACACACACACACACACATTCCTATATATTTTGCATTTACATTTTACATGTGTGCATAAGAGAAAAGATAATAAAATATAGGATTAAAGAATAATTATAATTTTCTAATAATCACGTAACTACGTGAAAAACGACTAACGTAACTCTCTCTCTCTCTCTCTCTCTCTCTCTCTCTCTCTCTTTCTTTCTTTCTTACTCTTATTCTCTTTCTAAACCTCACAATCAAAAACATGCGAGGTGAGTTGGCATTTTCTTGTATATTTCATCAACATTTCAAACAGTATACGATAATATACAAGAATATACATATAAAAATTATTTAGTAATAGTAGTAATGTGTCGAATACAGTAGTAATCAACCATAGTACCTAATTATAGACTTTTGAAAACCGTCGGACTTAGCCTTTGCTGGCTGCAGGCTGTAATTAAATATAGAGCATTCGTTATATGCAGGAGGTGTTCTCCACGGGGTCCACTGGGCTTGGGGCCCGCTTAAAATAAAAGCTGTCTTTCATCTCTAATTTTAAAGGAAGAAGCAATGGCTTATTGTAAGTACGTGGCTTTTAGGGCTAAACCCTAGCCGGTGTTAAAAGTGACGCATATACACGCGTTGGTTGTGTCGATTTATAATTTACAATTTATGTAGAATGAGTTCATTTTCCAAGATGAAACTCTTAACTTCTAAACTTAAGCATTAAAGAGTGATTTATATTTATATTTCATAAGGATTGTGTAATAAACGTAACAATAGGTGTATTAATAGGTCCTGGATCACAAAGAAAGTGAATGGTTACATCGTACTGCCCTGGGGCTTGAATTTAGATGCACGTTGAGCCCCTCTAAGACCGGGAGAAAAATTTATTTCTACTTCTATTTCTGTTACCCTTCGGGAACGCTAACAATTTATGTCGGTATATACGTTTTATTGGTGTATGGAAATAGAGAGCGTCCTTGGTCCAACTGTTAAATATTTTATCTAAGTTTTTTCTCTATTGACATTTAGTGGTGTTAAGATGCTTGTATAATATTAGGTGGTATGTTATGGTAAAAAGGATACTAGGAAATATTATTAGATAGCGGAAACATTCTGTGCTCAGACGT